TATATATATATGTGTATATATATATAGGCCTATATTATTATATAGGATGGTGTTGTTACGCCCCATCCTTAATTTAGATCATTAATATAATAATATTGCATGCAATTGAACGTATGTTTATATAAATTGTACAAGCCAAGCACAACGTTTTCTATCTTTTAGAACATTGTTGTCCATTTTCGATCCAATGCTTTATATTTTCGTAAGCGCTTTTTTTTGGGGTTCACATTGAACGATGTTTTGCAGGAATGTCTTTGTGTTGTTTTAAAATAATAACTTCGGAGCTAAGAGAACAAAGGCTACGTTGGCTGTTAATATTCGGCACATTAGAACCTACAAAAAGCAGAAAACGTTGGGATCCTCTGAACAGTATTATCAAATATGTGTACTGTTACTTAAGATGCAAATGTGACCGCTTTTTAAATTTCTTTTGAAAGACGAGCTAGAGTCAAATTCTTGTTTTACAGTAGTAGTAGAGCGCTACTAAGCATGATGTAGAGCGTGGATATGCGATATATAAATGCAATTATTATTATTATTGTTCTGCATCACAAACTGCATTTCATGTGGTCGTTCCTATGAAATGAGAAAACCAACGTGCCTGGATCTGGACAATAAAGATGTATCTTATCTTATCTTATCTTATCTTATCTTATTATTAATAGTATTATTATTATTATTATTATTATTATTATTATTATTATTATTATTATCTAGATCTAGATCTATACATAAAGCACAAGGTAAACTACCTAGCTTACACTATTTCTCCGTTCGTAAAAACGGTGTTTTGCTAATACAAATAACTTCTAGATCTAGAACAAAACCGATTGCATCAAGATTGTTAACAATGAAACGGCTACAGTTAAGTGCATATAAATGGTTTCTGTAACATTCCTGGTAATAGTTTTGTATTACTACTATTGCTGCTGCCGCTGTTGCTGCGAATTACCTGTACAAGAACTATACTTCTGCTGCTGCTACTACTACTGCTTCTGCTACTACTGCTACTACTACTACTACTACTACTACTACTACTACTACTACTACTACTACTACTACTACTACTACTACTACTGTTGTTGCTACTACTACTGCTGCTGCTGCTACTATTACTGCTTTTGCTGATACTACTGGATTGCTGGATTGATTCTACTGCTGCTACAACTAACTGCTACTACTACTACTGCTATTACTTAACTGCTTCTGCATCTACTACTTAACTGCTTCTTCTGCTACTACTACTACTGCTACTGCTAATGCTGCTACTACAGCTGCTCTTCTGTAGCTAACACTATGTAGAAGAAGAAGAAGAAGAAGAAGAAGAAGAAGAAGAAGAAGAAGAAGAAGAAG